AAAATCATAAGAAACGAATACAACCTTTGCTTTGTCCCTGCTAATGCCAACTTCACTCGCAACAACGCTGTGCAAGTCACTGTGATCAGCCTTACTGCCTGCCAGAAGCATATTGCTAAACGGAGTTATTCCAGTTACTCCTTTACCAACGCAACAATCACCCAGCAATGCCGCTATCCATTGCTCCTGCGAGTCGACATCTGCTCCGACCATGTGCCATCCGTTTGGACATTCGACCATTGACTTCAGCTCTGTACCTATCATTTTATCATCCTGAAATACACGCAACAGTTCACCTGAACAATTATGTTAACATCTGATACTCTAATTAGGTACGCTGTAATAAATAATTGGCCGACGCACTGGCTGCCGGTGCGAAGATGCGTTTTTTGCACAGTTCGCCGCAGGCCTCTGTCGCTAGCGGCACTGCTTTTTTCCAGCAGATTCTGCCGTCTAAAAGAACTGAGACTGGCCACCACGACTGTCAGAAAAAATCTCCTTAAAATTCCAACTTCCTAGCTTTTCAGGTTTCTCGCCAAAAACTTTTACGGCCCGCACGTGGGAACCACGCGGCCAAGTGCGTCAATTTTGGGGACGGAGGCCCTTACATGCATGTAAATTAAGTTCTCAAAGTTTCAGCCTTGTAGCTTTTGTAGGTATCGAGATGAAAAATCGGTACGGATTAACACACAAACACAGACACAAACATACGAACACACAGACAGACAGACAATCCCCTCGACAATATGCGTTTTTGTATTATACAATTGCAAAAAACACATAATAAGATAGATTTATGAATAACTTTTGGATTAATTGCAGTCAACCACAGCTTATGGACAGCTCTTCTGGTCACCGTACCAGCTGGAATGATTGAAGGAGCGATGGCACCTTCATTGCCTTCTTCGTCCAGCCACACTGTAACTTGCTCTTGAAATCGTGCCCTGCAACACTCTCATTTCATTTCTTTTTACTATCAGGTCCGCCAGAACAACTGGTGCGGAAAATACTTTATTATAATAATTTTTTACTAATTTCTAACTTTACTAATTTTTTTTACTAACTAATTTTACTAATTTCGCAGCTCCCAATTTCCCACCTTCCTTTTTGATTCTTTTTATTATTTCAATGGTTGTTACTATACTTTTTTATTCTATTTAAACGCTTTCCTATAAGAAATCGAGGCATTATCTTGATTTTTTACAAGAAAAAGAAGATTCTATTTCAACAATGCAAAAACAGAATACTTCAGGCATTTTTTTTCATAAAATAGTGATAATAATTGCATGCCTGTAGTTAGCCCAGAATCGTGTTGTGTTTCGTGCTCCGAGCAAATCGAAGAATT